GGGGGCCGGGCGCAGCTGGGCGGCGAACCCTGGAGACGGGCCCTCGCGGGGCTCCGCGGGCTCGGCCGCGTGGTATTATCCTCTCTTGCTCTCTAGGGAGCTTCCTGCCTCAGTGGGAAAAGGCTCATCCCAAGAGAGAGAGCAGTTTAGATTTGCTCCCAAACTTACCTGTTCTCCCCTTCACTTATTAGCCCAATATAATCAAATACCACGCTGTCCGTCCTGCGCTTTGCAGTCCTGGAGCTCAGCTTTCCAAGCGCTTCGGAGCTGTTTGGAAGCGTCCAGACGCCCTCCAGTGGTGGGCCTGTAGTCCGCACCCAGCGCGGGCATCGCCCGCACCTCAGCCCGATTGAGTTTGATGGAGAATCTGGGATCATGATCATGATCAATACGGACTTTAGGGAAAACGAACAGTTCACACCGGCATGGAACTACCTGGATGTTATGGGCCCTTGCCTGAAAGTTGAGTAGTTTCTCAACTGCAGAATTTTTTCCCACCTGAAGAGATCCTGAAATTGTCCTAGGAAAGGAACTCTTCTGTTTATGACTAGATATAAATTGCAATCTATGTAGCCTCCAGGACAGATCACCCAAACCAACCAACCACCTTCCTAATAATTAAAAAAAAAAAAAAGTAAGTTCAGAATATTAACACAAATGCTTCAGTATATTTCACAAAATTCCAACAATGAGAAAGAAGTGGGAAAATTTAACCTAGAGAATAAAGGATTATCTTTTTTTAAATCAAATTTTCATTTAAAAAGTTATTTACTTTTCCCTCTTGGTCTTTAATCTTGCTGATGGTCAAGTTCTTTGCCTATTGGGGCCATGTTTGTTTTTTCTTTTGCAGGAAGAATGCATCTGTTTCTTCCCTTGGTCTTCCTGATAGTAGCTCTAATAGGTGCTCATCTGACTGAAGCAGTTTTGCAGGAAATACTCTGGACCCTTTTAAGGGACATCTGTATCTCTTGGAAGAAAAGAATGCACAACTTCTGTCTTGGGGAAAATGCTGATCATCAGAGTCTTTTTAGTCAGGGAAATATCAAGTGTCAGGGAGTTAGCAAGCTGGCTTCCTGTGGCTTCAAAACCAAAAGGAGTATGGGGGGGAAAAAAGAATTTATATCCACTTATTTCCTATCTGAAAACACATACTGTAACCAAAATTGATATGTGAAAAATCAACATATCAAAAGAATATGGGTGTTTTATTATTTTAAATGTCTCTAATTTGTTTAAAGTCTGGAGAGAGCCATTTTAAACAAAACAAAAAAATTTACACATTATAGCCTTCCTTAAAATGTTTCAAGAATTTAGAATAAAAGATATTCCTTAAAAAGAGTCAAGGAGCTGGAATAAAAGCAACTGTTAAGAATACAAATGCCTGTGTGAAATAACTCATAAACCTAAATCAAGTGCTTCCTTCTGGGATTATATACCTACGTAACTACTGCTGTTAGAGTAACTAAGCAGCAATTGCTAGAACAGCGATTTTCAGTCTTTTTCATCTCATGGCACACATAAACTAATTACTAAAATTCTGCGGCACACCAAAAAATATATTTTTTGCTAATCTGACCAAAAAAAAGGTATAATTTTGATTCATTCTCACTGTTGCATTGGCTGTTGTCATTTATTTGTTTGACAATCTAAGGGGAAAGAGGCGAGTGTCCCTGACTAAATAGTCAGGTATTGCATGTTTTAAAGTGCTTGGGCACAGGGCCTCACTGGTTGAAAACTGATGTGATGGATACATGCATGGATAGAGTTTGAAGAGATGTATTAGTAACTATGCACTAATTGCTCATAATGTGACTTACATTCAAATCACATTATTCAAGTCATTTAATGTATACAAATAGGTGTTATATAAAATAATTATATTATGATTAGCCCAGGGTCACAGAGGCAATGACTTTCAAGGTAGCCATTAAAGGATAAGTTGTGTTTCTCCCAGTATAGGAGGAGATTCAGGTATAACAGAAAGAAAACAGCAAGGAGCTAGAAACATGAAAAATAAAAGTGCAGGGAGGATTTGAAGACTTTGAGATGGAAACAGGTTGGAGGGAGTTGAGACCTGAAAAGTTGAGAATGGACTGAAAAAGTTGAGACCTGAAAAGTTGAGAAGGGGCTTGGCTGCTTTCTAAAAAGGTTTGTATTTAAAGCTACAGGCAACCAAGTGCACCACCGGTGGTTTTAAAACAAATGACATTGAAGCAACAATCGTTATGCCTCAAATTAAAATACAAACAGGGATTTATTTATTTATTTTTATTTTTTGGCCTTGCACTATCTAGATGTATGTTCTAATCTTGGCTATGAATTAGAATCACCTAGGGAGCTTTTTAAAAAAGAACAA